AGAGAAAAGTGATGGCAAGCCATTCATATGGTCAGATGCTCCTGAATCTATTATCCAAGAGAGTTTTGTATTACTTGGAGCTGAAGCATGATAAGGTGAGGCCCGACTACCTGATTGAGCAAAGGATGAGGTTGAAGGAGCTGATGGTGGCTGAGGAGATAAGACTGAGTTACTAACTTCACTTTCCAATTGTTAGAGCAGCTCGGGCAGCAGCTAGGGTGTCTAGAGGAGTGCCTCTTGAGGCCGTTGAGGCTGCACTATCAGTGTTGATAGCCATATTGGCATTCCCCTTTTTGTTTTTGAGTTTTGCTGGAACTAGATGTGGATGCAACTTCCTACAAGTGTCTTTAATGTGTTTAGGTTTCTTGCAATGTTCACAAACTAGGTCATTTTTAGCCTTTTTCTTCATATCCCTTTCTTTATCACCAGACTTGGGTTTAACTGCTGCCAGGGCAGATTCGAAAGGCTGCTGCTGTAGCATAACCTTTCTCCTTGTCTCTTCACTATGCACTAGGGAATAAGCTTGAGATAGAGTCACACTTTCTCTTGTCAATAGCTGCTGTCTTACAATATCATACTCAGAATTTAGACCAGCTAGGAACTCAAAATACTCTGTTAGTTTCAACTTGCCTTCTGTAAGTCTGTGCATCTTTCTGAATCTCCCATTCAATTGTTTCAAGGTGGTCAATCTCATGCCATAAAGATTTTAGGGTTGAAAAATAAACAGAGACATGTTTCTCTCCTTGTCTGAGATTTTTAACCTCACATTTCAGCTCATAAGCCCTAGCAACATTAAGGGGCTGAGAGTATGTTTCTTTCACAACTTCCCATATTTCTTTAGCTGTTTTTGCACATAAATAATTTCGGCTGATGTGTGGCTGCATAGAGTTGCACAGTCATGTCATCACCAAATAATTTTCCTGAATCCACTTAGCATAAGTGGGATCCTCCTTGGTTGGTTCCTTCACATCTCCCAATAAATAGTTCAGCTTTCCTCTTCCCCCAATGGCCATCATGGCTGATTGGGCCCACTCTTAAGTAGTTTGAACCATCAAACTTTATGGTTGTAATCTGAAAGGTGTTTTCAGCCATGCTACCTGAACCAGCCCCAAAAACACCCTGCCCTTGGTTTCTAAACTCCATTATTAATCAGAATACTTCCTAATTGCTGTACTAATCGGCCTACTGGGTCTGTAACAGGTAATAGTGGGTCTAGATGGAGGCTTCTGATTCAGAAATCCTAGTCGGTCTATGGAGACTGATAGCAGTAAACAACTGTAACAGTCCTAGCTCTACTGGATCTTCCAAAGAGCAAAGAAATTGAGGGAGACAAATCTGATTACCTCCCTGAAGCAATACCAGCCCTGAAACTTGAGGGTTTTCTCTTAAACTCTAAAAGGAATACATAAAAGGATGGATTTTTTCCTAACCATACCTCTTATATCAAGGTATCCTTGCTGCCGATTTCAAGAAAAGCTTGAAAACYTACCAGAAAATTCTGAGAAACTCTGATCTTGATAATCAACTTCAGTCTTGAAGAGAAAAACTGATCTTGAACCAGAAATCTTCTGAAATTTTGATTGCCGCCTCTTGTCTTGATCAAGGACTGATCTTGATCCTCTAGTCTTGAAAGAAAAAACTGATCTTGAACAGAAATCCTCTGAAATTCTGATCGCCACCTCTAGTACTGATCAAGGATTGATCTTGATCCTTTTCTCTTCCTCTGATTCTTCCTGGTTATCAAAGATACGATCCAATCTTTGGACTGCTGCTGTAGATAACCTCCAAGAATCAGCCGAAGAGAGCTTTTTCTCTATTCTTCCAGCCTTAGGCATTTCTCATGTGGTCGGCTAGATCACACTCACATGTGAAGCCCTAATCTTGGCACTGATACCAAGTAATCGTACAAGACTACAGTTATTCTGTAGATTTTGAACAGAAAATAAAAGAAAGGAAGAGAAGAGGAGAAGAGAAGACGAGAGATAGAGAGGGAGAACTTGTGGAAGGACTTTTGAGAGAAGAGAGTGGTTGGTGTGTTAAAATAGCCACCCCACCCTTTGAATTTATATACATAGTTTCCTAATTGTAAAAGAACTTAATGCTTGCATGGCAAGATAAGATAATTAAAAACTAATCCTAGATAAGATAGAATAAGATTAAAACTAATCCTACTAGGAAATCTAAGTACAACTCAGGCTGTCACACGAGTACACTAATGTGGGGTCCACAGTTTCCTACAATTATGCTGCAGAGAAGAAGGCCTGAGAGTTGCCTTTCTTCTCACATGTGCTTTTTATTCCGGGCTAGTGATGAAACTCTTTCCCATTTACTAATTTCCTATCATTTTGTGAATTGCATTTAGGAGTGTTTTTTTTCTCTCTGGTTGCAGCCCCCCCTCCTCCCCCAAAGATGTGACTGGTATTTTCAATCCTAGGCAACCAAAGAAAGAGGGAGGATCTTGTGGAAAGTTACAAAGGCAGCAGTAATTTGGGTGATATGGGAAGAAAGAAATGGAAGAGTCTTCAATGGAAAGAATATATCCTTGGAGGAGTTATTGGACAGCATCAAAATAAAGGTGGCACATTGGGTAAAAACCTTGGAAAGCTTTCAAGTGTTCTCAGTTATTGATATCTTTAGAGCTTGGTCAGAAGTGGCACAATCCTCTAGAGGAAAAGAAAAGATAAGGCTGGAGTGGAAACCTCCAGAAGGCATCAAAGTAAAGCTGAATTTTGATGGGAGCTCTTTTGGAAATCCGGGCATGCCTGGAATAGGTGGTGTGATCAGGAATTCTGAAAGCAGAATGTTGGCTCTTTATTCAAGTCCCATTGGAGTGGTGAACTCATTGAAAGCTGTATTGTTAGCTTCGCTACAAGGTCAGTAAAACAACTGGGGTACAGACAGGTGGAGGTGGAAGGAGGTTCAAAATTAATTATTTCATGGGCTAATGGTAGCAGTCAGACTCTGTTGGCTCTTAGATATGCTTTTAGGGAGGTGGAAAGTATTGCTAAGGACATCATTACTGAATTTAATTGGGTGAAACTGCATACAGGTTAGGTGATTCCCTTGCTAAGCAGGGAGTTATGAGACATGGTTTGTTTTGGGCTGCAATGTAATTTTGAGTGTAGCTTTTTGGGGTGGCAGTCTTTCATCTTTGTATTAACTTTTACCTTCAATCTTATAATAAAATTTCTCTTTTCTGATCCAAGAAAAAAAAGAAAGAAGGTTAAAATCATCAAATCCAGAAACTACTTGAAAGCTGACCAGTGGACATTTCACAGAGAAAGATGGTAACATTTGCAAATTGCAAATAGGAAATCACTCCCCCTCCCTGGTGACTGGAGTTAAAACCTTCTGCTAATCCTAACACTTCCGTCTTTCATATCAATCTTCTAAGGGCTTCAACGACCAAAACAAAGAGAAAAAAGTGATAATAGATTATCTTGTCTATGGTCCTTATCTTCAATGAAGTGTCCTTCAGCTGTGACATTGATCATGATGGAAAGCCACAGGGAAAAGATACAATCATTCGTCCACTTTCTCCATTTCAACACAAATCCCAACCTTCTCAGTAAGTAATCAATAAATGAGTGGCTTATGTTTTATGTGCCTTTTGCATATCTATCACTTTTTTTTCCTGATTTCAGCCTCAATTCAATACATTCATTCACAATTATCATCTTATCTAATATCTACCTACCTTCAATAAAAGCCCCTTGTTCCTCTACATGATTTGCAATTTTGTCAAGAGTGGATGCATTGGCACAATCAATTATGTAAATAATTTATTCTTTATCCACAATTAATAAATTTTTCTAGTTACCCATCAAAAAAATTTGGTGAAATGCTGAAATCCCATCATTTTTCTAGGGATGACTAAAAACATTATTTGAATTGTTTTTCCTCTCATATTGCTTAGATATTTTGAATATCAGCAATAAATGAAACATTTATGGTTTATATTTTCAGAATATTGCTGATATTTTGTTAAAATCATCTGCAAGTACGTGGAACTCATCATCATCATCATCTAAGCCTTATCCTAACTACATGGGGTCAGCTACATGAATCCTGTTTTGCTATTCCATTCTGTTTAATGCCATGTCCATTGTTAAATTATGAGTGCTTAAATCATTTCTCATTATTTCAACCCATGTCCTTTTTGGTCTGCCCCTAGCCCTTCTAGCCCCTTCAACTTGTAAATGAACATTTTTTGGAATCTTTTTTTTAGTTAATGATGATTTACTATTCTAATGTGATTGACTAGTCACTATAATTCAAGAAAAAGGACATGCAGTTAGAAAAGGAGATTCTCAATCTAATGTTTTTGATAACAAATACACTGAAGCTTTGAGAATCCCCTATTTGCTAATCTTGCTCATTCACATCCTAATAAAAGATATTTTTGAAAGGCAATTAAAATTATAAAATCATTTTTTTTCATAGGGATTAATAATTTAAGACCCTAATATAGAATTGTTTGGACTTGCCTCAAGGGGCTTGGTACAAAAGTGGCTTCTAGAATCAGCAATGCAAAATATTTAACATTAGCTATTTGAAGTAATACATTTGGGAAAAAAATAAAGAGATTGACAGTTTACATGTTTGAATATATTTTATATGTTATGCTTGATTTTCTTTTTAAATATTCATTTTGAATATGCTTTACATGTTATATTTATGTATTTTAATTTGAGATAATAGTTTTTTATTATGTTTATTTTTTTTTGTTTTTTAAATTTTTGGCATTTTTTGGCATATTTTGCATTTTTGTGCCTTGCTTCAAAAAGGCGCCTGCCTCACCTTGCACTTTTAAAACACTGCTCTTCAGCTGATTTTGAGAGTTCTTATTTGTCTGCATGGAATTTATTAAGCATGATTCATTGTGATATCTTTAGATTTTTCTCCACTATATGTTTGTTTTTCTCCCTGTAAGTTATTATGTTCATGAGATTTATGTAACTGTTTCTCTCTGCTGACAGTTCCTAAATGTTTGATCTCAGGTTGAGCACATGTTAAATGACAGGTTGATGCATTTTGTCAATGTTGAATTACATGACATCAAGGTATTATTTATTGCCGAAAAAATTATCGTTTTACATCTCATGGTAAAGGATGTTCATTCTTCATGTAATTGGGTGTAATGTGAGGAGGAAGGACCCAGACATGAGACATCCAGTGTCAAGAAATAATTGCTTGGGTTCAGGTAGACAGGTGCTTGAGCAGGATTGAAGTCATTGAGTTGAGGAACATCACAACCTGGGGAGACTTCTTCTATCAGTATTTTGTTGGACATCTTGTTTATGCAGACCCAAATACTAAGATGGTAGAATTGTGGGTATCAGTGGGTTGGAGATCTAGTTACAGCCTAACAGTGGAGGCATCCAGTGTCGAGAAATAATTGCTTGGGTTCAGGTAGACAGGTGCTTGAGCAGGATTGAAGTTGTTGAGTTGAGGAACATCACAACCTGGGGAGACTTCTATCAGTATTTTGTTGGGCATCTTGTTTATGCAGACCCAAATACTAAGATGGTAGAATTGTGGGTATCAGTGGGTTGGAGATCTAGTTACACTTACATTGGCTGGTGTAATTACCCAATAGTGTTAATGTTTGATGTGAGTCCTTTTGTGTTTCATATTTCTGCCCAAAGATGTGGCCATACAAGTCAACAACAGCAGGGTCGTGTTTGACAGTCTCAGGCTTGATTTGTCTCCCTGGGACTGGCTGTAGGTGCCATTAAAACCCCTGCTTTATAGACCAAATGGTGGCTTAATATTTTTGTAGTTCCACTGCACATATTATGTAAGTTGACCTTTGTGGAGGTTGGAAATTACCTTGGAGCTTTTGTGAAGATAGGCAACTGAAATGTGGAAGTGGAGTGTTGTTGATTAATGATATTGGTTTGGATTGATATTAGTTCTTATGGTGGCAGTGTTTCTGGGAGAGGTCATTGAACCCTTGAATATATGGATTTGGTTGGTTATTAGGTGGTAAATTTGGTGAATAATGTCTTTGGTAGCACTTTCCATATGTTTTGCTAGTTGTGAGGAGTGACAGTAAAATTATGCAGCAATTCCACAGCTATGGGAGTGGAAATGATGATGTGGTATACAGTGAAGGGGTTAAAATCCTCTTATCTGTTGATCAGGTGGGTCCTAAATTGGGGACCTGGAGGTTGGAGGTTGAGGCAAGGGGGTTTCAATTTTTAATCCCCATTCATTGCAGGATTATAATGGTGTGGAGTCTGGAAACTTCCAGATCCCCTTGGCAAGGTAGCAGGTTGGGCTCTGACAATGGGTTTGGTGGGCCAAGGTGATCAATTCAGATGTTTCCGTGTGCATTATTGGTCCTCTGACATGGCCTTGTTAAATACAGCGAGGGCTTGCTTTAAGGCCCTTGGGAGGCCATGGATACAGCCATATAGGGGGATCACCAAAACCTAAATGATTATTTCAAGAATCTGGGAGGAAAATTTTACTCTAAGGATTGAAATATGCCGTAAAAGAGAAAAAAAGTTAAAAGTGTTTCTTTTGTTGTGTGTGAGTGGAATATAAGGGATAGTGATTCAGTGGTGGAGAAAAAGAAAAATTAAAGGTTTTTCTAGGAACCCCTTGCAGTTTGGTCACACTTTTTGCATTCAAAAGCTGCTAGAGTAGGTGGTGGAGAACAAGGTTTGTGTGGTGAAACCTTCAGCACAAGGCAAGTATTTTGCTAAATTTACCAGTGGGAGGAATAGGTTAAAATAGAAGAGATGTAGGGATGATCATGGACCGCACTAGGCTGGGATTTTACCGGGTAATAAACAGTTTGTGGGGGTAATTGGGCCCGGCCTGGCCTGCATCCTGGGCCACATAGCATGGCCCTAGGCTGGGCATTTGAGCTTGCCCATATAAATTAATAAAAAAATATATTTTTTTAAAAATAAAATGTTAGTTTAATTTTATAATAAAAAATACAAAACATATATATAAAAAATTATTGTACATATTATCTTAGAAATATCAATAGGAAGCTAAAAGAGAAGAGAGGAGAGAAGAGAAGAATGAGAGGCAAAAAAGTCTTGCTGGTTGCACCAACAATAGTATTTATACTAGGGCGATCAGAAAATAAAAGGAAAATTACAAAAGTACCCTTATGGTACTAAAGGTGAAGTGATTCCTGCCTTTTAACACTCCCCCTCAAGAGAAGAGAGAAAGAGAAGAGAGGTGAGAGGACTGAGAGCCCAAAGAATTCTGCAGGCGAGTGCAGTATGTTATTATTTATACTAGGCTGCTCGTACAACATAAAATATGAGGAAATTACAAAAGTACCCTTGCTGTACTAAACATGTATACAACAACATCTGTCAACAAAACAACATCTATCAACACTGCCCCTCAAGTTGGAGCATAGATATCAATCATGCCCAACTTGTCACAGAGATCATGATGTCTGGAATGGTGAAGCCCTTTTGTAAAGATGTCTGCAAGTTGGTTCTCAGAGCTGACATAGGGAGTTCATACTTCGCCTGTGATGACCTTCTCTCTGATAAAATGCTTGTCAACTTCGATGTGTTTTGTTCTATCATGTAGCACTGGGTTAGCAATAATGTTTATAGTTGCTTTGTTATCACAGAATAGAGTCATAGGCTTGTCCACTAGGAAACCCAACTCACTCAACAGATTCTTTATCCACATACCTTCAGCTACTTCGTGAGCCATTGCACGATATTCAGCTTCAGCATTGGATCTAGCCACTACATTTTGCTTTTTACTCCTCCATGTAACAAGGTTCCCTCCTATAAAGGTGCAGTAGCCACTAGTAGACTTTTTGTCACTTTGAGATCCAACCCAATCTGCATCTGTATAAACTTCAACTTTCAAATGCCCGTGCCTTTGAAATAACAAGCCAGCACCAGGAAACTTTTTTAGATATCGGAGGATTCTTTCTGCTGCTTCAAGATGATGGACCTAGGTGCATGAATGAACTGACTGAGGACACCAACAACATAAGCAATGTCTGGACGATCATAGAAAGATATAACAATCTCCCTACAAGCCTCTGAAACTGTTTCACATCTTTGAGAGGTTCACCTTGGCTGTCACCTAATTTATGGTTGGGGTCAATGGGAGAGTCAATTGGCTTCACTCCCATCTTTCCAGTGTCCTGAAGTAAACCTAGGACATTTCCTTTGGGAAATGAAGATACCCCTTTTTGATCGGGCAACTTCAATTCCAAGGAAGTATCTGGGAGGTCCTAGATCCTTCACTTCAAACTGAGTGGCAAGGAAACCCTTCAACCTCTGGATTTCATCCTTCCAGTCACCAGTAACAATTATGTCATCCACGTATACTATTAAAGCAGCCATTTTACCTTCTCCTCTTTTCACAAACAGTGTGTGATCTGATTGACATTGCTTGTATCCTTTCTGCTGAACCGCAACATGGAATCTGCTGAATCAAGCTCTTGGTGATTGTTTCARCCCRTATAAAGACTTCTTCAACTTGCACACTTTCTGTTCATTGCCTTGAGCCAGAAAACCAGGGGGTTGAATCATGTAAACTTCCTCTTCAAGGTCACCATTCAAGAATGCATTCTTGATGTCAAGTTGATGTAGATCCCAATTTAGATTAGCAGCAAGAGAGAAAAGAACTCTAATGGAGTTCATCTTGGCAACAGGGGCAAAAGTTTCTACATAATCAACTCCGTACACTTGAATAAACCCCTTTGCCACTAAGCGAGCTTTATACCTCTCCACCGTTCCATCAGCCCTATGCTTGACAGTGAACACCCATTCACATCCAACTGGATCCTTTCCCTTAGGAAATCTACAAGTTCCCATGTGCCATTTTTATGAAGGGCATTGATTTCTTCCTTCATGGCATTTGTCCATTCAGGTACTGAAAGAGCTTTTGCCACATTCTTGGGGATAGGGACACTGTCAGTAGAGGTAAGGAAAGCACAAAATGAGGGTGAAATGTTCTCATAGGAAACAAAGTTGGAAATGGGATGTTTAGTGGTGCACAATCTAATACCTTTCCTTTGAGCAATAGGAAGGTCAAGGTCATTAGCAGCAGAGGTATCAAGTTCAATAGAATCAAGAACATCATTGGGAGCCAAGTTACCTGAGTGGGTATGATCCACCCCCGAGGAGTTTGATGGCACTGGAGGTACAGCTTCTAGATTCTCCATAGCTCTTGAATTTGGTTGGCCTTTGCGACGACGAAAGAAGACACGAAAAGGCGGGGGATCAGGAAGAGAAGGGAGCTGAACCAGTTTCTCCTCAAGCCTACACTCCCCCCGAGGAGAAACAAGAAAGAAAGGCTCATCCTCAAAGAAAGAAACATCCATGGAGACATAGAATTTCCGAGAAACAGGATTAAAACAACGGTATCTCTTTTGAGTGAAGGAGTAACCAAGGAATATACAAGGAATAGCACGAGAATCCAATTTCCCACGGGTGGGAGACAGATTTTGGACAAAGCACCGACAACCAAATACAAGAGGAGGAATGGGAAGAAGGGGGGCCTTAGGAAAGAGAAGATGATGTGGGGTTTTGTACTCTAACCAACGAGAGGGCATATGGTTAATCAGGTAGGTAGAACAAAGAACAACCTCAAGCCAAAAACGTTTGGGGACATTCATATGGAGTAGTAAACCCCAAGCCACTTCAAGGAGATGCCGGTTCTTCCGTTCAGCCACACCATTTTGTTGTGGTGTTCGGGCACAAGAGCTACGGTGAAGTGAACCACACGAAGCAAAGAACTCCGTAAGATCACTATGAAAAAACTCTTTCGCATTGTCTGACTGAACAATGTGAAAAGGAAATTCAGATTTACTATGTTTTTGAAGAAAATGAGTTCTACAATGTTTACTTAATTGACGCGTTTGACAAGAGAAATCTGAAATGGACATTGACTTAAACAGTTCTGGAAAGACAACTTTTAAAGACTCAAAAGACAAATGACCAAGGCGACAAAGCCATAAATAAATTTGACTCTTACAGGACTGACTCATAGACTCTGTAACATGAAGACCAGCCTTATTCTCCAGCATATAAAGTCCATCAACCATACGTCCCCTAGC